ACAGGGAGCTTTTTCATCCCTGACCACACATCTAATACTGCTTTACAGTAGTTTCTTCTCCCGCTTAGTCCTCCATACTTCCTTACAATCTCTAATCTTGAATTTCAGTGGTTTGTGTATATGACTCAATAATCTCCTGTCTGCTTCACTTTGTGTTAAACATTTTCTTCAAGTCAATGGTGACTGATTTAGAAGACTATAAGCCAAAATCTGCAGGAAGAGTTTGAACTAAAAGATTTTAATACTCATAGGTCTTAAGGAGTTACATGTGTAACAAAGGTTTATAAATGTTTATTCTAAGATGTCTTGAGGCTGACTGTTTTAATTCATCTAGAAGAGTACTGAATAGGAATTAAGACACGCGTAAATTTTTACCTGAACTTCTGTTTGGGGGTGGAAAATATCTAATATTAGATTAGATTATTTCAATAATCTTAATATAACCGTTGCAGAGACTTTCATCTTTATCTTCAGTATATTTATGTGAATCTGCCATGGTATAAAGGTATTTTTTTCTATTTAAACCAACCAATTTGAAAATCCTTATTTTCTCAAACAGTTTAAATGGTTAATGTACTTATTTAGCGCTTTTTCAAGTCAGGAGACTTGAAAAGCATCAGACTTGATGCTATACACTACATTCACTCATTCACCCATTCACACACTGTTGGTGGTGAGCTACATTGTAGCCACAGCTACCCGGTGGTTCACTGACAGAAGTGAGGCTGCCATACAATGGCGCCACCGGGCCCTCTGACCATCATCAGTAGACAATGCAGGTGAAGCGTCTTGCCCAAGGACACAATGCACTGAAAGCTGGAGCCGGAACTTGAACCATCAACCTTCAATTTCAGGGCAAACTCCTACACCTGACGCCACTGTCTCCCATTTAAACCATTTTAAACCCTTCAAGTCACTGTGACCATGCCTTGGCTTTATTAGAGAAGTCTCACTGTTTGTGGCATTTTTCCAAAAGATAGAATGACAAGATGAAAAATTGCCAGCTAACATTCATTAAAGGGCCATTTGGCCCTTAATAGCCTGAAGATATTGTACCAATATGATTGGTGGGTTTCTGGCCTAGTGGTTGGGGCACAGAGCTTGGAATATTGAGGTTCTGAGTTTAAGGCCCACTCCCACAGACACTCTGGGACCCTGAGCAAAGACCCTTAACCCCATACTGCTACCTGGGCGCTGCACAATGGCAGCCCACTGCTCCCCAAGGGGATGGGATAAATGCAGTTCTGAGAACTGAGAGAGTTCATTTCGTTGCTCTGTACTTGTGACAGTGTAATGACAATAAAAATGCTGAAAAAAAATGCCATCCATGAGTTACTCACTGTAGGCTCATGTGGGTTTGATGCAGAATGGTAACAGTTTAAACCATGGGCGTAGGTTTGCATAGGGCCCATAGGGACATGTCCCTACCAAAATTTTGAACCGACCTAATTGTCCCGACCAATAATTGGATGTGAGCAACGTGTTTATAATTTACAGCAGTAGTTGTTGCAGCAGTGGCTTCTTTTCCTCTCGCAGCTCCTCTGCCTTGTCTCTCCTGTCCCTTTCACATAGCAGCGCATGGAATTGTGCTGCGCTGTTTAACTCCACTCTCATTGGTGCCTTAGCTTCCGCCTTCTCTCCCTCTGATTGGCTGTTTTCTAGTCCGCGTGTGCTTGGAGCACAACATTGAAAATGAATTCACACTAGAGTGCTGCGGTTACTCCAATTATTATTAGGCTACAAAACAAGTCCCAATAAAAAAAAAAATTAATATCATGTACACTAAAAAACAAAAACCTTTTTTTTTCTTTTATAAAACGAAATATTCTGAGTCAGCCAGGAGTTCTGAAGACTGCTGGAAAATTGGGCAAATAAAGGCTGTAAGCCATCAACATTTCTGATTCTTAGCCACAGCCACCTAAAAAAGAAAATGTGAGGGTTTCCTTTTTACCCATATTTAGGTGCTATTACTGTTTTCATTTTTTGATGACTCTTTGAGGAAGTTCAGGTATAATTATTAGCAGGTGTTATTTCTCTTATAGAGTATAACAACAAGAAATGGTGGCTAAATATCTGCTGTTTATCGTTTAAAACGCATAATTAGGGTTCCACATAATAATAGTATTTTAATTGACTATTTATACTTCTAGAAATAGGATAAAGACAAAAAAAAAACAGATGAAGAATATCAACATTCATTTTATCTTACATAGATTTCCACACAGTCTATAAGTAAATTAGTACAAACATCAATGTCTGGTAAAAATGCTTGAATATGGCTGTTTATTTTTTATATTATTACATTACAGATAAGATAGTGTTACATTGTCTTTTATAATTGTTAAAAGTGATTTTATATTTTAATACACTTAGGCTCATTCTTAGTGTTGTGTTTGTAGATGATGCCACTGAAAAAGAAAATAGACATGAGGAGCTATTTAAACAGTCAGACAGTAAGCAATATAGGACAATGATAAAAGGTTGTGTTACATTTAATCCTTCACTATTAAAAATGCACTTATACATTATATGATTATAGGAAACACAGATATCCAGTAATAATGATGCAGGGCAGCTTGTAGGTGAAGCAGCTGCCCTTCAGTGCTTCAGGTGATGTCTAAATAAACCAGGTGATACAAAAATATTTCCTCATGAGGAGCTCTGGAGAATATTGACAGACAAAAACATTTTTTTAAATATTTTATATATATATATATATATATATATATATATATATATATATATATATATATATATATATATATATATATATATATATATATATATATATATATATATATTTTTTTTTTTTTTTTTTTTACAATTTTGGTATAATTACTGATTTGAGTGGGTTGCTCTGTCGGGGAAAGGCACATTTTACATTTAGATTATGTTTTATAGTCTCTATTCTTCAGTTAATGATGAATCACTTACTAAATTAGTTGACAATTATTGAAATAATCAATTAATATAATTAATTTTTTCAGCCCCAGATAAAATACATGAATTGGGCGACACAGAGTAACTACAGCCCAGATGTTCAACTTTTATAGTGAAGTTAATATTTTAATGAATGTATTATTTTGCTTGATATAAAGAGAGCATAGTAGGTAAAAATATAAGAGTGGGGTTTACCTCTGCATAATTCTATATCTTCAAAAGAAAATACTGTATTTACCTTCTCTCTTAGTCGTTCAAATGAAACCATTTTCAAAGTGGAAAACAGTCCTAATTCCACATTCATCAGAGCTGGTGATACTTCAAACATTGATAAACAGCATCTAATGAGTGTAGTGCTTATAACATTTTTATTAATGTAGCAAAATTATGCTTTTCTCTTTTAACAATGAATTGCTCTTATCAGCACGGATGCTCACATCGAGCAAAAAAAAAAGGCATGCATATTGCATAGTACCAATGACACCAGACCAATAGTGTCCCTACCAAAGTTCAAATCAAACCTACGCCCTTGGTTTAAACTGCATCATATTCGGCCCTATTATTGTTTGATTTACAAAAAACATAAAAAAAAAAAACTAGAAATGACCTGCAGGGTCCACATAAACACATGGAGTCATCACAGCACAGCAGACATACAGTACCACATTATTTCTAAACTACTTGGATATCAACAAATTCCAATACAAAGACTGTAAAAATAGAAGTATTAATAATCATCATGGCTTCTACTGTAGACATATTTTTATGTGACTTTCCTTATTAAATAGTTTCCATCTATTCATTCTGCCTCCTCACCTGCTTTTCTCTTGCAGTGTACAGCCTCAGCCTTTACCTTCTCACACCACTTTCAGTTCCCACCTTTTCGCGTTATCTTATTGACTTATCCGTCATCCTTCCAACGTGCTTTTCTTCAAGCCCAACATTCAAGGGATGTTAAAGAGAACGAAGAACCCCGATGGTCGGCAGGCGGCGACACTTTATTATGCAAAGAAGTATTAAGGACAGTGTGCGCCCCGCCAATGATGAAGTGAAGGTTTGCTGTCCTTTAAACGTGAATATCTACTGATCTGATTTTTATTTTCTTAGAGTTTAGAGCTGGATCACAGTGATCCATACAGGCCGCTTTACTTTACACCATGTAAAGTGTTTTTTTTTTTTTTTTTTTTTTTTTTTTTTTTTTTTTTTTTTTTTTACAAGCAGGTTTTTTTTTTTTTTTTTATCAAACCCTGGCTTTCTGTTAAATCTTCTCCAGAGTCTCTGCATTTAAATCTCTCTGGACTTTAGTGGCAAAGCAGCATTGTCGATTCATCTACTTGATTAGAGCGCACCCCCACCCCAGACTCCCTCTCTCTCTCTCCTCTAGACACACACACACACACACACACACCCCACACACACACTGGTACGTCAGTCATTGAAATAATATACAGCAACCTTCCCTGCTTCGCTCCTCCCGTCTCCCCACTGCTCTCCTCTCCTCAGCATTTCTCTCAGCAGGTTTATCCTCTCTCCCCCTCTCTCTCTCTCCCTCTCTCCTCTCCTCTTTCGGGGGAGAGCTCATATCTCTGGCGGTTTGCCGCATGGAAATCGCTCAGGCTAGACTCCCTCTCTCTTTACTCGGACCGTCCCTTCTCAATGTGCCATCTACCGCTGCAGCGACAGCAGACTGAACGCCACCTGAGCTGGGATACGCGCCGGGATAATAACGTAACGGCATCCATCCGCTGAGTGACTGTAAAAGGGGGAGGCAGAATCCCGGCATCATTCCAGCAGAGGGAAGGAAAGGGAGGGGGGGAATGTTTCTCACTCAGATGTAACAGCCACAGAGAGCAGGGATCGCCAAGTGCGCAAAAGCAGCTGCTGGAGAGCATTTTTACGCACGGCTCTGCGCTCTCTCCTACTTGACAGAGCGGAGGTTGGATATTTCTGTGTCTGTGTGTGGTATTGGGAACTTCCCCGTCGTGAAGTCCTGATTTCTGCCAACCCACCTGGAGGCTCAAAACCGAGAGAATCCGTCGCCCTGTTGGAATATTCAAACTAATCCAGGCGGGGAGATGATGCTGCAGCAGCAGCAGAGTTTGGGACTCTAGAGAGCTTCTCTAACTTTTTTTTTTGTGTTCCCATTTCTGTTTACTTCTGTTCATCTCCGACCTTTTTGGACTTTCTGCTTGAATTGCAGCTCTACGGAATCAGTCATGGACCGCTCTACATCTTTGGATATTGAAGCGCTCAAGGTAAGAGCCCGATGCGCGAAATCACTCCCGCAGAGCAAACTGATGTGCGGCTCTAGATGGGTGGCATGTTGGGTGAGTGCCGCTGATGAGTGACTGATCGGTTGTCTCGGGTGGCTGCTTGGATTAATCCGTGGCTGAGTGACTGATGGCGGGTTGGAGGGTGAAGGGGGGGCAGAAGCGCGCACGATGGCTTTGATAGTTGACCTACTGTAGACTCCTCTGGATCCAGGGAGTTGTAGAAAGTATTTAGGGAAGCTGGTGTGCATGTTTAAGATAGATAAAGAAAGTAAGAAAAGCTGCAGCAGGTGAAGTTTAACTGCTGGCCAAATAAGCGCGCTGAGGTGATGCGGTGAAACACCTATACTCTGCTGACAGTGGAGATAAAGGGGATTATGGCACTGCTCTGTTACCCCAATTGGGATCTGTCTTAAGTTTGGACCTTCAAAGTTATTCCACGTGTTGCCAAATTTCAATTCAACCTTGATCACAAGCAATAAGGTGAGGGTTTAATATTCTGAACATGATCAGAACTTTTAGTAAATTCCTGTAAAAATATAATCTCACCCCTTGAGCCTCAAGGGTTCTGCTTTTCCAGATCTGTTCAGATTATAGAGTAGAATATGTTAAACCAACTTCATCAGTTTAGGGTTGATAACATGGGACTACTACATTCTATTGGTAATCAAATATGGAAATGTTATTTTAAGGTATCAGCAGGTTGTGAATCCTCTACATATAACCTCTGCTTGCTGCAGCCCATTTACCAACATGCTCTTATACATGTAGACTCTTGGGATCCAGTTGGAGTCAAGTAGATCACAAAGGTGATTTAATAAACAAGGGTACTGGTTGTAGCTGAGGCTGAAACCTGCAGCCCCAGAGCAGCGTGTGGCTCTTAAGACTTTCAACTTCGGCTCTCCAAAATTATGGCAAAATGAACAGTGAGTTTCTAAATAAAGGTTATACAAAAATGATTGTTTCAGCAGTTCCTCTGTCTGAATATCTGCATAGATACTCCACATAAGACTGTAACAAAGATCTTTTTGTTTCTTGTTAATCCGTTCATGTTATGTTTTAGTAGATTTTTAAAATAAAGATTCATGAGATGAAAAATAATATAAATATTTTTCTTTTTATTTGTTTGAGGCCAAAAGAAGAAAGTCAAATAATTTGCATTTGTTTTGCATTTATTATGCAATGTTGAAATTCAAGACTTGATTAGCTGAATGTTTTTAAGGATCAGGTTTGTTTTGTTGCAAAAAATGGATTTTGTTGCAGATGTAGTGTATGTATATGTTGCAGATTCCTGTGATTGTCTGAAATGTGTTAACAAATTGCAAACTGTTTTTAACTGGTCTGAGTTAGTGGAGGTGGAAATGCACCGCTGTTGTATTGTTAACAAGGGACTGAGTAAATGAGAAAATCAATGCAATTCCCCAAAGATTTGAGATTTTTTTCATGTGTTCCATTTTGTTTAATTCTTTCTCTGAAAAGAGGACCTTGAATCTGACACAGAGCTTCACGTTGACTTTTACTGTGAACTCGCAGAATGTGGATTCAAAAGATGAAAATTCCGTTTTAGAAATGACCTTAACTGTTGGCTGCTGAAGATGACTCACAGAACTGAGCAAGTGTTGAAAAACCCTTTATGTGTGAATGTGTTGTCTAACATTTGTTACAGTGTAAGGATCATTTTCTTAACATATACTATGCAGGAGTACCCACTGCTCCCAATAGGGCGAAAGTCTGGTCTCCATTAGTAAAGTTTTTTTCTTTTGTTTAACATCTAATGAATAAAGTAAAATAATTGCATTTTTATTTATTACTTTAGTTTTGCTGTAACTGTCAGAGCAAAGGTCAGTGTTTAACCATAGAAATCAATGAATGATAAATGAAAGTTAATGTAAATCCCTAATTTTTAGAAAAGTTGGCTCAAACATAAAGATTGAGCCAACAAAGCACATCTTTAAAGACTATCTATTATAGAGATTTTTAAATTATTATAAGATTATATTATAATGAAGCCATTAATGTTTTATAAACCAATAATAGGAGGTTTTACTGCAGCTATAACTGTCATTTAAAACAATTGTGCAAAATACCTTTTTGTTAAGACACTAAACTGACTTTAAGTTCTCTCTCAAGCTTTAAAGAATGTGCTATCACTGCATATTGATGGTTTATAGAGCAAGTCCAACAACATCAATCACAGGCTTATTATTAGGCTTCTTACAAATTTATTTACAAATTTTTCAAATCAAAAGGTTGCCACACAAATAAAAAACTGAATTAGATAAAGTCTATTTCCATTCCTGTGTTTAATACCGTGGCTATAGCAGAAAATACAACAATATAACTTAAATTAGTTGTAGAAACCATCCAGCTGTTGGCTAAAGATTTTCTTGCAAGGTTGCCAGGAACACAAGCTCATTAATATTTATATTTGTTAAACTAGGATATTTTAACTCCATGTTATTATACAGTAAGAACCATATAACAACCCATGTCTGCTCATAACTTTCAGTAAACCATGTGCAGTTCTTGGTTTTGTGGTACAATCAGCAGAGATGTACAGGCAGCTATTACCAAATATTTTCTTCTGTCTTTATAAACCCCAATCAGTCACAGCAGACAATTCAGCAAGGCTTTTATTCTCAACATCAGTGTTTGACCTCAACAATGCTTTTCCGAGAGAAAAGTTAATCACAAACATAGCACTAAATATGTTGAAAAGCCTTCCAAGAAGAGATGAAAGTGTTGCGGAAGGTGGGTTAAAGCCTGGGATGCCATTCAAGTTCATACATGTATATGTGCGAAGGAAGCCCAGCATATTATTTTCTATATAAATGTTATAAATTTGACATTTTAGTTACTTTGAACAGAAATTCCCTTTAAACAGGTGTTATATAAATTATCAAGATGTAAATGGAGTTATATTGATATCAAAACGTTGTTTTTGAGCTACATAAATAAATAAATGCTAAAATGACAGAAAAACTACTTTGGAGGCTCTGAAAAACTATAAATTGTCATAAAAATCAATCTTTTGATGTGTAAAATTGTCATGATGGGTTCTCAAATGGAGACCCAGTTATGCAGAACACCACTGACACAAGGATGGAAAGTTTAACAGTTTATTAAAGCACTACACACAGAATGTACTGATTCAGGTTCTGGTCTGGGTTCTGGTTCACCGGAGTCTGCGAGGGAGACAGCACAGTTAGTGACTGCTGACAGGGTTTGATTTCCACAGGTTCACTGATTGTACCTTGAGGGTTCTTGAGGTTTACTTTGGGAGAGTCACTGTTGGTTCTGGAGAAGAGTTTATCAGCAGAGTCCGTTTGCTGCTTCAGCGTCTCACGTCTAGCTTGAGCAGACCTTGGCCTTGGTTTCCCAGCTCTAGTCCAGAGCTGCTTGGAGGTTCTCTGAGAATCTTCAGGGTTTGGCTCTGAGGGTCGGCTTGGCAGGTTAGCTCTTCCTGAGCTTTCACAGAGGAGGCACGGGTTTCCTGGAAACACAGAGACAGTGGTTAGAATCCAACCTGGATTCAAAGTCATGGAAATACAACAAAGATCTAGGCTTTAGCGCTGGCCAACTGGAACAACACTGCGGCGTTGAGGCAAGGTCTGAAGACAGCTTATATAGTGGATCCTCTGATGATCTAGATGAGCTGCAGCTGTGCAGGAGGCTCCCTCAGAGGATCCACGGCGGACTCTGCTGGAGAAAGATGGGATTTTCTCCAGCTCCCAACAGTACCCCCCCCCTCAACGACCGCCCCTTGGCGGTCCGGAAGAGGTAGATGGGCAGGAACGCTCGTACTCCTCGATGAGCGCAGGGTCGAGGATGTACGAGCCAGGGACCCACTGACGATCCTCCGGTCCGTAGCCCTCCCAGTCGACGAGGTACTGCCATCCGCGACCTCGTCGACGGGAGTCTACAATGCGGCGCACTGTGAAGGCCGGACGGCCATCGACCTCCAGGGCGGGTGGTGGGGAGTCGGACGGTGGGCACAGAGGACTCGAGGAAACAGGCTTGATCTGGGAGACGTGGAAAGTAGGGTGGATTCGGAGGGACTGGGGAAGTTGGAGACGGACAGCTGAAGGGTTGATGACTCGAGAGATTTTGAAGGGTCCTATGAATCTCGGGGAGAGTTTTCGAGACATCCCCTTGAGGGGGATGTCTCGAGTGGAGAGCCACACCTCCTGGCCCACAGAATACTCAGGGGCGGGACGTCTCTTGGCGTCGGCGAAACGTTTGACTGACTCGGATGACTGGTTGAGTGTGGGGATGGTCTCCCTCCAAATCCTTTGGCAGCGACGGATGTGTTGGTTAACGGACAGCACCGATATCTCTCTCTCATCTGCAAGGAAAAGAGGTGGTTGGTATCCGAGACTGACCTGGAATGGAGACTGTCCAGTGGATGCAGAACGGAGTGAGTTATGGGCATATTCTATCCACGGGAGATATTGACTCCAATCCACGGGGTTATTGGATGTAAGACAGCGGAGAGTGGATTCCAGCTGCTGGTTCATGCGTTCGGTCTGGCCATTCGATTGAGGGTGGTAACCTGAAGTGAGAGATGGTTTGCAACCGAGAGCAGAACAGAAAGCCTTCCATACCTGAGAGATGAATTGGGGACCTCTGTCCGAGAGGATTTCCTGGGGAATGCCATGAAGCCGGAAAACATGTTTAATTAGCAGCTGAGCTGTCTGGAAGGCCGTGGGAAGTTTTCTGAGGGGAACTAGATGGCAGGATTTCGAGAAACGGTCAACAATGGTTAGTATGGTGGACATACCTCGAGAGACAGGGAGACTGGTGACGAAATCAATGGCGATATGGGACCAAGGACACGAGGGAACAGGAAGTGGTTGAAGCAGGCCTGAAGGAGGTTGGTGTGAGGCTTTGTTACGGGCACATGTGGGGCAAGCCAACACATACTCCTTTACGTCTCTGTGGAGAGTGGGCCACCAGAAGCGCCTGGAGATGAGAGCAACTGTCCT